TGTATTTATTTGGCAGCCGCGAAAGATTTTCGAAAGGACGCAAGGGAACTGGTCCAACGGGAAGGGGGAGAGAGGAGAGCGAGGTGGCGTTAGAGGGATCAATTTCTGTTTTTTGTTTTTCAATGAGATTTCTTTCTTCCAACTTCGAAGTTATATAACATAACAATTGCATCATATTTCGCTTTCATCAATTTCACTGTCCAACTTCACCTAGTCCCTTATTTCGTCAATTTCAATATTCGATGCGTATAGTCAATAAAAAATGGTTTAAAATATATAATATAATCACAAAATTTGTTTAAACGAAAACCAGGTTTTAGAAGAAAAAAACCGACTTGGATATAGGACGCTTAAATTTGATATATGTAGTTTACCTTGAGATCCCATCTTGCCTTTCGCTCCTTCGGGTCCAGGGTGACCTACACCGCCCACACCTGGTATTCCTGGCACACCATCTAACCCTGAAAAATGAACACATTGAAATTTTTCGATGTCATGGCATTGATAAAATAATTTACCATCTGGACCATCTTTTCCAGCAGGTCCACGTGGTCCTGGAGGACCCGGCGGGCCCCCCGGGCACTGCACACACTTGATGTAATCGTCACTGTTCTTTCCATTGACTCCAGGCAAACCATCAGTGCCATTTTCTTAAAAAAAGGCGAATATGGAATAAGTGCCTTTTAGGTCAGTATGTCCCGTAGCATATCAAAAATACGTTCTAAAAACTACAATGAGGGAGATGCCAAACCTCCATCGCTGCCATCATCTCCCGGTGGGCCAGGTGGACCTTGCGGACACTCTGGATCAGGTCGTAGCCCACATTGCTCATTTTGATGATACTTGTGTTTTTCTGCAGTTGATGAGGTTAAACAATAAGAAACATCGCTGAACACAAAAACTCTTCCTAAAGCCGGAAAAATGGGCAAAAAGAGCGTGAGGTAGGTGGAGCCTGTTACGTTCCTTTTTCTCGCTTGGATAAAAGTTTTTGTACAAATTTTAGGATTGCTCTAGACATACCTCTCAATTTT